CCAGTCTTAAACGCCTCAACCTTAGACCAGTCTTAAACGCCTGAACCTTGGACCAGTCTTAAACGCCTGAACCTTGGACCAGTCTTAAACGCCTGAACCCAGAACGGCAATGACCCCCCCCTCCCCCGTCTACTCTGATGAGTCTGGTGTGGGACTGATGCCTGGTACCGTGGGTGCCCCTGGCACTACCGCCCGAAACGTCGGGGTGTTACAATGTACGATGTGATGGAGGATGTGGAAAAAATATATTTGATTTTAAGAATATATGGAGTTAAACAAATATATATACATAACGACGACGACTTATCCTGTCGAATTGCATTTAAGATAATAGCCGGCAACATATAACTACTTTGAGTCTCGTGATCCGTTCGATGAACTCGCGAGTTGCCTGATGTGCGGTTCCTCGAGCTGGCGTGGGCCTCCTGTGGCAGTGTGCGATGGGCGGCGGTGGGCTACGCGACGGACAGATTTGCAGTGCTCCGCATTCGCACGCACGGCCACTCCTGAATGCCAAGTCCGTGAAGGCAGTAGCCGCACCCCTGGCGTGCGAGCTTTGAACGTGATTTACGCGAAAACCCCCCAAATCATTGCCTCCTTCGACGCCGGGCTGCATTGAAGCCCGGGTAAAGTTCCCCGCGCCGAGATCTCCGACGAGCTACGTAATTCACTTCGGGGAAATTAAACACTTTTCTTTTTTGCTCTCACGTTCCTCGTTATGTTTTTTTTTGGGTTATTTGCGCGACAATAAAAATATATATATACGGAGCCGAGGCTGTTATCGCGCGCTGTGAGGAGTGCGACTTCTGTGACTTGGGGCGCTCATCAAGGGGGGGGGGGGGGAGGTCACGGCTGGGTCACGGCTGGGTCACGGCTGGGTCACGGCTGGGTCAATCGAGGGAACGCTTCGGCCGCAGCTCCCGGCACCTTTGCCCGCGTTCGTCGGGCGCCTCTCGACAAACAAACAAACAAAAAAGAACCTGCCAAACGCCCACACTCGCAATAACAACAACAACAAAAACCTCCCAATCGAGAGCGGAGCCCCACGAAAAATCTTCGCGGGATCACGCGAAACAACGATAACAACAACAAAAACAACAAAGAAACAACGATCAAATCGTCCGGTGTAGAAAAGTGCCGGGCGAGCGACGCGCCTCTGAAAACGTCGCCGCGAAAGGAGGAGTCCCTCCCGCCCATCGCCGCAGCTCCAGAAGCCCGGCCGGGAGGAGGGATCCTTTAAGGCCACCGTCGCTGATTTAAAAGCGAACAACAAAACAAAACCCCCTTGAATAATGTATTTTTCTACTTTCTAAAGTGTTAATGAAAATAAAACGACGCTTGTTTTTTTATTTAATTTCATCATCGGGCCCTGCACCTGTCAACGAGATTCAGACGAGGGCTTTTCCCGAAACTGACGTTGATGTGAAACATCGCGACACGATTGCGATGTTCTTTGAGTGTGTCTGTGGGATGGTGGTGGGGAGGGGCATGTTTAGACTCAGTGAAAATTATCACTTGTTAGTGATTGAGGAATACAGAGTAAAAAAATCACGAGAGTAAATAATGCGAAAGTTACGCGATGACTTGTATAAAGAGAGCAGCGACCTCGTGTGTGATTCTGATCGATGATGAATTAATCATGAATTAATCATGAATTAATCATGAATTCATCACTTTGAAGAGTCGTAGGGACGCCTCTTACAGGGGTCTACTTATTGACAGCATCTGAAATAACAATTGTGATACTGTAGCAGGATAATTATTATTTTTTATAATCATTATAGCAATATTAGTATTTCACTCCTGCTATTAATAGCCATTTGTCAAAACCTTAATTTTGAGGATTTTATGTTACTGTCATCTATCTTGGTTTTTTTTGGTATATATAGCACATGTCTATGTACTTCCTGCTGACTGTATACTGTCCCCTTGTTTTATTTAGTCGCACTAAAACCGCATAAACATTGCATGTAAAAAAAAACATAGCATTATATTTGTAGCTGGGTTGTAATAACAACTTGAATGGATGTAACATTTAGCTCGAAAACGTCGATCCTCATTACAGCGATGCTAGTCAAACTTCTCCAACTGTAAATTAAAATGTTAACATTTTGTAAGAATAAGTGATGAAACTTAAACCCAAATGAAAATTATTATAGAGTCTTGTTGGTAAAACAAAAGCGGCATCTCCAAGTTAAACAAGTTAATTAAAAAGAATACGCGCAAAAACTGAACACCTGTTATTTTGTAGGTGCATAATCAAACTCTGAAGGTGAATTAATGAAGAAGTGAATTATAAAAGCAACAATGAAACAAGCCTGAGGGTGGTGGCTTTGCACGTGGCCCCTAATTCAGCACTGGAGGCAACAGCGAGGGTTGGTGGGTCACACAAACATTGCGAATCTCCCTTCCCGTGGGCTTTGCCATGAGAAGGCGGCACAGCAAAAACGGGGACACCACACGTGTTTTCCGTTGTGTGGGATAGAGCGTTGCCCCCTCATACGCGTGGATTGTATCTCGGGTGCTCCGGTTTCCTCCCACGTGTGAGTACTCATTTGCCAATAACACCTTAACATAGAGAGAACCGCAGAGCTTGGGAAATCGTTGGCGCTGGCTCACTTTATTGCTGCTGCTGCTGCTTTAAAGCATTCAATCAATCTTTATTTTACGTGCCAATATGGCCCTCAAAGTCGTGCATCGGTGCACATCACGGCACAACGGGAGCCGTACCGGCGGCGCGGAGCAAGAGGAGTGATAAACGAAACCCGTCACGACCTCGGCGGCTAACACAGACTGAGCAATGTTAAATTGCCACCACGCGACAAAAAAATAAATAAAGTGCAGGCGTGCGTAACGAATAGCCGAAGAAACAAACGAGCAGGCGAATAAAATAAATCAAACAAAGTAATGCGAAAAGAAACCGTTTATTATTTTCCTTCTTAAAATGTTAAGACGCTAATGGGAAGGGGGCGAGTCTGGGAGCAGGCGCATCTGGCGCAGGCCACGGCATCGAGAGGCGTGCGGTGCGGCGGCGTTGCAGACGCTTGGGGCTGCGCTCGAGAAGCCTTCGCGCGCCCAGCGTGGTCGGGCGAACAATCCTGGGCTGGGCTCAGTCGTCTCGCAGTTGCCGTGGATCAACGGAGCGGGTACAATGTGCCTGAGGATTGGAGGACGATGTGAGTTGCCGGGTAGATGGGAGGGGGGGTAAGCTATGAAGTGCTTTGTAGGTTAGGAGGAGGGGCGACCTCGAATTGGGTGTGGAAGGGTGGGACGTGATTTGTTCGAAACGGCTAACCCGCCGGATCATCCAGGCAGCTGCATTCTGCACGAACTGGAGCCTCCTGAATTTCGATTAAAGCTTTCGTGACTGCAGGGATTCATCTTCTGGGTTAAACCTCACGTAATTAGGAGGCTCCATCTTCTGGGTTCTTTCGGTAAAGTCACGTAGATTGGAGCTCGCGACGTTTCGGCCACAGCACGGGCTACCTGTGTTGTGGCCGAAACGTCGTGAGTTACTTGTGTTGTGGCCGAAACGTGGTGAGCTCCATTCTACGTGACTTTACCGAAAGAACCCAGAAGATGGAGCCTCCTAATTACGTGAGGTTTAACACGTACACTTTAGCGACCAATATCATCCAAAATAGAGGGTTTTTTTTGGGTTAGATCGCGTAAATATGTCGTGAAACCCGCCACCACCCGACACAGCCAACTAGTAAGGGTTGTCACGTGAACAGAACGTGGCCAATTCGTCACTAGTACAGGACACCGGTGTGTAGGAGAGCAAAGCCACAACATTTATAATCTAAGTACGACGTTTCGCCAGTAATTACAACTAGCTTCATCAGGCGACAGCCAGATTTGTGGAGAAGTCCAACTGTTTCGTTCCTTACATAGAGGCGTAGAAGTGGTGACCACGCTTCTGCGCTCTTGCACAATGTGGGGGGGGGAGGGGTTACTGAGGCAAGGTACATGATGCATTGTGCGAGCCCTTTAAACTTCTTCTTTGGTTCTTTCGGTAAAGTCACGTAGAATGAGAATAAAATAATAAATTGATAAAATAAAATAACACAATAATATTCTCACGACGTTTCGGCCACAACACAAGCGGCCTTCATCAGGTGAAGGGAGCGAGACTGTCTGGTAGGACAGCGCTGGAGTGAGAGAGCCACGTTCAGATCACGGCTTTTAAGCTGTGTGAGAGGAACAAAGAGCCTTGACGAAGGAATTAGCATAAAATTTAGCATTGAAAAGGCTGAATGATTAGCTTGTGACTGGTCACAGAAATAGCTATGTTAAAAGTTAAAGCATACACATCCGCAGAGGCGGATGTGTATGCCTTTTCAATGCTAAATTTTATGCTAATTCCTTCGTCAAGGCTCTTTGTTCCTCTCACACAGCTTAAAAGCCGTGATCTGAACGTGGCTCTCTCACTCCAGCGCTGTCCTACCAGACAGTCTCGCTCCCTTCACCTGATGAAGGCCGCTTGTGTTGTGGCCGAAACGTCGTGAGAATATTATTGTGTTATTTTATTTTATCAATTTATTATTTTATTCTCATTCTATGTGACTTTACCGAAAGAACCAAAGAAGATGAATCATTGCAGTCACGAAAGCTTTAAATCGTCCCTTTAAACTTGTCCTTCCTGTCTATTGTGTTTATTAAAATAGCCCTACCAACGGTATTCTCTATTGAAGTACGCTGCCCTTTGGAGGCATGCATTTAAATAATGTATTATTTGATGATTCGCTTCCAAGCAGCACTAAGACGGTAGCTATCCGAACGGTTAATACTAATTAGATAAATAATTCGTCTAATTAGATAATCTATCGAAATTGAGAGAAATCTAAATAACTTTAACCGTTTGAATAGCTACCGTCTTAGTGCTGCTTGGAAGCGAATCATCAGAGAAACAAGATGTCTCGCGCATCCGAGACATTTTATTTCTATGAGATTGAGTGAACGAGTTGAACATTACTTTTTATTTTTGAATTGGCTTCCAGGTGCCCCGCTGTGGCGCCCCGCAGCGGTTTCAATCACGCCGGAAGCCCTTCCCATCGCAGTTAAGGACGAGGTGGGTGCCCCATGACCTAATTTACACCAAGGGTGTCGCTGTGGAGAGAGATTAACTACCTAGCCTGGTTTACAGGAGGTTGTGGGTTTGATTCCATCCCCGATGTCTGTATATTTGGAGTTTGCGTGTTCTCCCCCGATGGTCGTGTGGATTTCTGTCCGGTTTTTTCCCTCCATTTATAAACGTGCGTTTAGAGTATTTGGCTGCAATAAATGTCCGCGCGATGAGCCACTTCGCTGAGCTGTCATTTGTGGCCAAGTCGCTTCTGAAAACGAGATGCACAGCTCAGTGGGCCTTACCTGGAAAAATGAAACATAGTTGACACGTACTGCGGTGCATTGTGGGAGCCGCTCCCACAATGCACCGCAGTTCACGCAGCCCTCTGTGCACAGAGGTGGGAATTTGAAAAGCACAATGGTGGCAACTCTATTCTATATCGTCCAGGAGCCACACATTTTCGAGATGAATTAGTTTTTTTTATAACAGCAGAAGAGTTCAACAGTCACGTTGCTCTGGAACATTCCATTAAATAATGGAATAAAGTAGCACGATATTGGGTGGTTTCTTTTTTGTCTTGTCCCATCCTGAAATATGAAACAACACAATGCTCATGTTTTTGCATTCTGTAGGCCACTGTTCATGAAATGTAACATTAACACCTTAATATACAGAGGGCCGCAGAGCTTGGGCTAACTGTTGGTGCTGGCTTACCGCATGGCTGCTCCCTTGCCGCTCGTCTGTTGTTCCCCTGAATCGTTCTCTCTCTTTGTACTAGAGTGAGCCAATACTGTGCGGGTGCATTACTCCTAAAATTGATCATTATTACCACTGTATTATTTACCTACACTAATATATAACATCGTGTCAAATAATAGACATTGGGGTATGCCTGTGTTTTTTGTAAATTGCAACATATAAACTAAATGCATGGTAACGTGGGCACTGATGTGCAGGCTTTATGATTTTTAATTTCAAATGATTTTTTTTTTATAATAAATAGCGTACTTAAAAAAAACACATTTACTTATTTCAAATCAGGAAACTCGATGGGTTGCCTGTTTTATTTTAAGCAGCTGCAATTGAGCTGCTTGGTCTGCCAACGATTTTTTTGTTGTTGCTCAAATCGGCATCAAACCGTTCCGAGTCACCGCACGCTTTGCTTGCGTGCATGGAGCAACGCAATTTGTTAACGCTGCTTCGAGGGCGTAGAACTGGGCTTGGGCTCTCGCGACGCTCCGCTCGTTCGCGACCTCTCCGATCAGCGCGGTTGGCTACGTACGGCGTGAAAGAAGGGCAACATACACACAACACTGCACCCATAGGCTAACACTGCACCCATAGACTAACACTGCACCTATAGACTCACACTCACACTGCACCCATAGGCAAACACTGCACCCATAGGCTAATACAGCACCATAGACTAGCACTAACGTGCTTGCGGCCAGAACTCTGTGGAGTCGTCTTGCTCGAGCAGAGTTGACCACCCCACCTCGATTTTACTCGATTTTACTCATCGCTCGCGACCCTGTCAGTGCATTCACAGTGCCCGTGCTATACACAAAGACAAAGATCCCCCGTATAGCCTATAACAGACTGTTGGGGGCAAGTGCTGTTAGCGAGCAGCACCTATGAAGGCCGGCACGGCGCACGAGGGGGTGGGTGGCCAGGACCACGCCCGGCCGCCTTTGTCTCCCCAGTGGCGATGTTTACACACCGCACCAGGCACTCATTTGAGGCCGAGTCGACCTACGGGAGGCCCAAGACCGGTTCAGACAATCGTCACCGGTGTTGGCCGTGAGCGGGAATCGAACCCGGGTGGCCAGGTTCATAGCGCAGCGCGCTACCCGCTACACTACCGCACACAAACATCCATACGCCGTGCTATACAAGCATGCGTGCATTTCCAAGTCCACAGCTGCCGTCTATTTAATGACAGCAGAGAGTCCTGATGGTCAGGCTTGAGCTCCCTCCCGAGGGTACTCGTTTTAATTAGCGCAGATCATTCCTTGAATGTTGGGCACAATGCTTTTGAACTCAATTGACCTCCGCCTTGCTTATTTATAATAATGCTCAACAATATTATTATTGATAATTATGACACTTGTTTACTCGCTGAGCCTCGAAATAATCATCAACGTCACGCATGAGCGATGCGTTATATCATTATACAATTCAGCGTTGAATTTCACCGTGGCCCGTGCAACGTAACGGGAGGATCCTCTCCAGTCAGATCAGCAGTTCACCGGCTGTGATTGCGGCGAGCCTGACCCTGCTGATGAGACACTTGGTGTTGAAAACCGATCCAGAGGTTTGCTTGTCTTGAAACAACGCTGCTGAAACCGGGCACTCCCAGAAGGCAGTGCAGCTGACGCATGAAGGAATATTTATTTATATATATCTACGTGGAGAGATGGATACGCTTGTTATATATGTCATCACCGAGTCTCAAGCCTCATTTCTAGGAAGGGTCCTGCCAAGTTTTTTTTTTACAGAAGGGGTTGTTGCTGCTGCTGCTGCCGCCGTTGTGTGGAATTCCAATTGAGTAATTTTCAGGTAATTATTCAACGTTGTGATGCTTTGGGGCAACACCAGTTACAGTGTGTGTGTGTGTTTGTTTTCCCACTGTGGGAGTAAAGCGGAGAGCCCAGATGAAACCCATGCAAAACAGGGTGGAAGAACACACACACTCACACTCCGTGCAGAAAGGTGTCCGAGCATGAAGGGCCTGTGCCACTCTGGCATAATAATAATAATACTATCTATGCTAGTGGTTGTATTGCCACAGCAGTCGTTGGAGTCATACAAAAGTGGCTTCGTCTCTGGTACTAGAGATTGCCAGTGAGGTTTGACGTTTATTTAGTTTAACCAGATGGTAACTCTAAATATTAGGATAGTCACATTCGCAATAATCGCCTGGGTCACCGAAATGTCTCAAAACAATTAATTTAAATTAAGTACAACACGAATTAAGTGAGTGTAAAACCAAGCCAAAAACATCCAAGTAGACACGAGTGCGAAATAACTAAATCAAATCGGTGCAAAGACAACCTAGCGTGCGCTACAGGATAGGTCACAATGACTGCACTAAACAAATGATCAACAGGAACGACAAATTATTTCCCTCCAACGAAAATTGGCTCGGACAAATTACTTTTAAGCTGTTCGTCGTATAATTAAGTTACAGAGACATTAACATGTTTGAGGGTGATTATTTAGCGAGTAAGTAAACAGACGAGGGCACGTGGCAGTTACAATTGCAAGAGCGGTTATCACACGGAATCGACAGTTTAGCATCGAATTGTTATTTATATGGCAGAGTAATCAGGAACAATTACGTTACAACTTTCAGCTGTTTGGGGCATTAAACGGAGCCTGAATGAGAAGCAAGTGAGTTGCATTTTTGTCCCAGGCCCTTGAGCGGATCGCACCTGGAGATGAAAGCTTCCTAATGAACGCAAGCTATGTTGTTCTGTAAGATAAACGGAAATCTGTACACATTGAGACGTGCGTAGTTTTGTGATGTGGCTCACTGTGTCAAGCACAGACACTTCCTCGCTCAGGCAAGAATAAAGTCAGGTGAGTTCTCGTCGCAACTGTAGATAGCCCTTTCAATAAAAATAAATACGCATAAGGCTAATTTGAGACTCTTATTTGAAACTAAAAAATGAAACGTATTCAAACTTGATTTGAAGCTTTCGTGACTGCAGGAATTACTCTGGTTCTTTCGGTAAAGTCACGTAGAAAGAAAATTAGAAAATAGTATTCTATTATTTAATTTATTTTCTTTCTACGTGACTTTACCGAATGAATCAAAGAGTGAAACGTATTCGTCAAATTTATATGGCGGGAATGGTATATATATTTTATTTGAACTCACAACATTCTAAATGTGAGCTGAGTGCTCTGAAACCGTGCCACTTAGCCAGAATAATTTCTACTTAGTAAAAACAAGGCTATTTAGGTTACCTGGATAACCACGCAGGTAAACTTAACATTTGTCTTGTGGGCAATGGTAATGGTGTACTTTATAGTAACTCTTGGCATGGAAATCCTCTGCATTAGTGGCTGGATCAGAACTGTCCACGTCAATCAACCTGCCCCGTCGCTAACTATATCGACTACCCTGGCTGTCCAGAGGCTACAATTTAGATGTAGACATTGATTACATGATAATTTATGCCGACATAGACATTAATCATCATCAGTGATCTTCCTTTCTCCATTGCATATGATTTTAGTCAAGCTTGTCGGCTTTTATGTAACAATTACACACTGCACGCAATAAGAATGAAGATTGTGAAATTTCGAAGCCAATTTCGCCCTTCTGTCTGTGCGGTGGCCTTGTAAGCTCGACACAGAAACGTCGTGAGCCTTCCCAGGTTGCTTGCTGGCAATGTGCCTGATTGTTTTTGGAGTTTCATGAGACTTTTTCTGTGCGTGGCAAAAAAAAATGCTGTGCGACTTGCCTCCAATATTTTGCATCTGGCATCAGTTTGTCGTACTCAAGTCAGAGCGTCTCTCTAGCTAAAAATGAGATTTGGGCCGTGATTATCTTCAATAATGGCCCAGAGCCCAATTTCTCCAACTAACAACCTCTGTTGGCTTTCCACAGTTGTAATTCATTTTTTAAACCCTGCAGGAATGATGGCTTTTAGTCAAGCCCTGACCATGGATTTGAACTTGCAACACTGCTGGTTTTTTATATGAATGTCCTGCCGCAGCTGCGTCTACTTTTTAAGCAAATTCATAGACAAAATGTAACAAAAGTGCAATCACTTCCAGAAAAACAACCCAGACTCCATGTTGGGTCAAGTGGTCTGAAGGTTACATTGCCCAGGTCGAGATGCCTTATCGTAGTTGTCATTTTTTTTTTATAAATAGCTGCACTCTTTTCCATATTTTATTATGACGCTACTCCCATGGTGGTCCCCACAACATCGGCATTCCCTACCCCCCCCCCCCCCCCCCCCCCACACGCTGATGTCATTCCCAGCAGT